TTTCAACCCCGCCCACTTTTATGATTCGACTACATTTGTTCTTTTACACCTTAACACCTTCTTGCCGCATCCCAGAACGTTTCTGAACAGAGTTATAAATTTTTGATCTAAGCCCCGCCCACTTTAGTCTTTTACACCTTAATACCTTTTCGCCGCATTCCAGAACGTTTCCGAACCAAATTACACTCATTTTTGAAAAGTAGTTCACCTTAACGCACGCCCCGCCCACCGTGGGCGGGGCTTCGCAAAGCTTATGCATGCCCAGCACGCAGAAGATCCTGCTCACTCTTTTTATTTTTTTCCTGGCTTCTGCGCCTTAATTGAATCGAGTTATGAACACATCTAAAAAGTACCGCCCATTTTGAGAAAGATCCGCCCACAGCGCGTGGGTCTCCACCGTCTGGTTTCTTGACCCAATCCCCACCTTTGAACATTTTTTCCCGGTGTCTGGACTTTTTCGAAGCAAAAATAAAATGTTTGACTGTTGGCACCGCCCATTCCGGCGCTTGCTCCGCCCCCCGTGGGCGGAGCTCCGCAGAGCTCGTACATGCTCTATTAATTTTGTCTTGAGCTTCACCCATCCCGAACTTGTCCCGACCTCTAAAGGTGTTTTTTCAGGTAAAACCGGATTGCGTGACAGACAGACAAACAAACATACATACATACATACAAACAAACAGACACACCAAACTTGTGGATTATATATAGTAGAGATTGCTGATTTCCCTCATTATAATCAAGGTGCCGATGTTCACTATATTGTTTGTGCTGGCAACATTAAGGTATTTGAAATGTTGAAGATCGATCACTTATGAGGCATCCAGCAAGCCATAAGTAAGGTTGATTGCCCGCTAACGGGTTGTCATTGTCATCAGAGATCACCCAGGTTAGGCACGTTGGGAGTCGCTCCTGCAGCCCTATATCTGTGCTAGATAATCGCCCTTTTGAGCTGTACGAGAAATTCGTGTTGTTGGTTACTACTGTTATCACAGGCTAAACTTCAGTCAACACTAAAAGATGCTAGACACCCGTCGCATTTTTAACTTGTTCAATGCTATTTGATCAAAGGATGAAAATATCTTGCTACGGGCATGCAGTCTCTATGTACGCCCTTATCAAAACGGTATTCAATCCATCAAGACAAAATACATTGAACCTCTGGAAACCGTCCAAAATAATTTCACCCGAAAGTCAATGCTTAGATGTTCTGGTCTTTAAAACGCACTCATCGCATTTTAAGCTTGTTCAATGCTATCGATGAAGGGATGGAAATATCTTGCTGCGGGCATACGGTCTCTATGTACGCCCTATATCAAAAAGCGGGACAAAGTAGCGATCCATACAAGACAAAGTAAATTGAACCCTTTGAAACTGTCCGAAATAATTTCATCCAAAAGTTGATGCTTACAAGGAAAGGATACTTTCGCAGTGGCCATACAAGATGAGACGTATGCCCCTGTAGGTGGTTTCGAACGCTGATCTCAAATCTGTGTTACAAATCTGCTAAACGATTCTGTTAACAAAGTTACGGGACCGATGCCTCCCCTGTGTTATACCACTGTACCGAACGGATCACCTTGCCAAACAAAGCCTTACCTGTGCAACAGTGGCGCAGCTGATAGGACGGTGTATGACACCAAGGTCCGATTCGTTGATGCATGCGCTCGTTTTGCTTTTCCTTGAAAGCGTCCCAAACACTTGCAAAACATTTTTGGATGTTGGGCATCTACAGGGCTCTCACAATTTAGGAACACTGAAAGGTATTATAAAGAAGGTTTTTTTCTTGCCCTCACCGGCCGAATAAAGGTGGAGCATTCGAGCAAAATAGGAATTATGTACATTTGCTCGAAATGGGCTCAAGAGGCTTCAAGGAGAAAGGTTCCAAATGATTCATCGAATCAAACGCTCTCAACATGTTACCAGCGAATTTTCTGTCCGAATGTGGTGTCATCATATTTGATGGAGGACTTTCGTTCTTGCGGCGAAACGTGGGCAACATCTAGGAAGAGGTGGTAATGAAGAGCTTTCGAACCATACTTCATGATGCTATGAAAGCGGTCTACGCAAATTAAGAGGGAATGAGCTTCCGAATTAGTCTACTATTGCAACTTACGATGTCTTATGTGGTCGCAACTGTCAGGTACAAAACAAGCGGACCGATCGGTCTACTTATGGAGATTAGCGGATAAGTTGGAAGGGTAGGCTGTCATCCTACTTATATAATCGGCCAAGTGTGTCTGTTTGTGTGTTTGTGTGTGTATGTGTGTGTGTGTGTGTCTGACCGGAAATTCATAACTCCTGTCCCCGTGGACCGAAAACATTCAAATTTGGTAGGAGTACAGGCGGCAGGGTGGTACTTATGATAGGTGGCAGGATCAGACTCCGCCCACAATGGGCGGGGTTTGTGCAAAAATTCATAACTTCTGTCCCCGTGGACCTAGAACATTCAAATTTGGTAGGAGTCATGGGAGCAGGATGGGAACACTAATGGTGGGTAGCAGGACCAGACTCCGCCCAGCGAAAATTCATAACCTCTGTCCCCGTGCACCTCTTCTTCTTCTTCTTCTTCTCCCTAGCGTTAGTCCCGCGCCGCCGCATGGTCCGCTGTTCTTATTAGTTGTCTCCACTTCATTCTATTTACGGCATCTTCTGCCGTCACCTTGACTTCGGCGAGGTCCTTCTTGATCACGTCCCGCCATCTCTTCTTTGGGGCTCCCCGTGGTCGCTTGCCTTACGCCTCGAACTCCATTGCCTTCCTTATCGGGTGGCTCTGTGGTCTTCTTAGGACATGTCCGAACCATCGTATTCGCTGCTCCCTCATCTTTAGTTGAACTGGAGCTGTTTGCATGACCGTCCCGACGTCTTCATTCCTGATCCGATCCAGTCGCGTCCAGCCGCAGGCCCATCTCAGCATTCTCATTTCAGCGGAGTGGAGCTGTCTTTCATGGGCTTTACTTACGGGCCAACACTCGCTGCCGTAGAGCATCGTGGGCCTTACCACTGCCCGATACACCTTTCCTTTGAGAGTTCTGGAGCACCTACGGTCGCAGAGGATACCAGTGGACTCCCTCCACTTCATCCATGCAGCGTTTATTCGGGATTTCACGGCCTGGTCCACGCTACCATCAGCGGCTAGATCACTCCCCAGGTATCGGAAGTCCTGGACCTTTTCGATGGCTTCCCCGTGACCGTCGGTGATTGACTCCATGCCTCCCTCGGAGCTGAGGAACTTGGTCTTCTTCACGTTCAGCCGGAGACCATTTTCCGCCAGTACTTTCTGCCATTTCTGGAGATTGTCCTGGAGCTCTTCCTTGCTCTCCGCTATCAGAGCGATGTCATCAGCGTAGAGGATGGTCTTCAGTGGTCCATCCACGAGTTCTTCTGTGATGACATCCATCGTGAGCAGGAAGAGGAACGGGCTCAGAGCTGATCCCTGGTGCACCCCAACAGTGGCATCTATTGCTCCCGTTTGGCCGTGCGCAGTGCGTATAGTTGTAGTGGAGCCATCGTATTAGGTGTGTGCATTAATTTCCGCCGCCGTCTTCAAAGGGTCGTTGCGCGAACCATGTTAGAGGTTCACCTGTGAATCCTGTCATAATCTGTACGATAGGGTATTAGCTACCTACTTAAGGGCAGATAGATCAGTTTTCCCCCAAAATTCCGTTGTTCCCAGACTGATTCGTCATGGAACATGATAAACCGTTTTCCCGGGGGACCCTTCTCCTGCTGTTTGTTTCCAAGGAAACTGGCATTGAAGCCCACCCGATGCTTTTTGATACTCACAGAGGACAAGCTCTATCTGAATAAGCCTCCTGCGATGGTTTCTCTTCACTCGAGAGTTTGTAACGAAGGCGGAAAGCAAAAAGTAATGCTGTGTGTGCATTTGGTGGTGGGATCAAAAGGGTGTTGTGCACTGTGAGTTGCTGAGCCCGATGGAAACTGTTACTGCTGACTGCTACGAACACCAACTTGACAGTTTGTAGGATGCTCTCACCCGCAAGCAGCCGTTAATCGCAAGAATATATCATGAGATACTGTTCCACCACAAACATGCCGGACCCCATGTTGCGAAGAATGTCCTTTAAAAAAAATTGCAGCTGCTGGATGGGATCAGCTTGTTTAGCCCGCATACTCTCCGGATCTTGCTCTTTCTGATTACCACCTATTCCGGTCCATGCAAGTCAGTTTGGCAGATACACGCTTCCGTAATGCCGAAGAAGTGCGAAAATGGGTGGATAACAGGTTCGCTTCAAAAGATGAGGACTTTTTTAGACCCGGAGTCAACAAGATGCCAGAAAGATGGCAAGAAGTTGTAGCTCACGAAGGGCAATACATTGGTTAATGTACATTTAGTTTTAATTTTGTAATAAGTATGTTTTTGCACGCGAAAAACGGTGTAAATCAATGCACACACCTAATACATATCCTTCACCAAGGAGATGGGGTGTTCTGGCACGTTTCGTTTTCGGAGCGCACTCCATAGGACTTCTCGCGGAAGCCGGTCGAATGCCTTCTCCAGATCGAGGAAGGCTAGGTAGCATGGTCTACGCTTTTCTCGATACTTCTCCTTTAATTTGCCTAGCTATGAAGATGGCATCCGTTGTAGACCTTCCAGGCATGAAGCCGAACTGCTCCTCTGAAATTGGGACCAATTCTCTCAATCTTGAGTCGACCAGCCACTCGTACAGTTTCATCATGTGAGCAGTCAACCTGATCCCCCGGTAGTTGGAACAGTCCATCGCGTCCCCCTTCTGCTTGAAGATTGGAACGATAGT